AAATGAATAAATGCCTAGGAGGAGATACCTGAATCAACTTTGTGGCTGTAGCAAGGTTGAGCTCCTGCTTGGTTGTTGTACTATAGTAAGGTACACTATATCATCATTAGGGACAAGTGAAGAGCTCCCAGGACCTCCCTGAAATGTCTTTGCAATTTCCTATCACTTTATAATAATTTCAAAATAAAGAGGACTGGGATTTTGTTGTTGTTTGTTTTTTTCTTAAGGTTTAAAGACCCCATCTGAATCTGTCTTCTCCTGTAAGAAGTCCATCTAATGACAAGGTCTGTGGTCACGTAAGATTCACCGTGATCAACAGACATATTTCCTAATTCACAGTGGAGTCCGCTCTGTGGGGCTCAAATGATCAGGATCAAGTGGAGAGTCAAGCTGTGAAAACATGAAAACTCAACTGAGAACCTTTCTGCACACCAGTGAGAGTTACAGGACATATACAGGGGCTAGGAGCAGACAGACAGCAACGTACAGTTAAAGAAGTATACCACACACTGCAAAAAAAAAAAAAAAAAAAAAAAAGTAAACAATTTTTATTTAATAAAATAAAATTTAAAAATAAAGTAAAGATAATCACACCATGATCTCTATGTTAAGGAGCCACATGCAGAAAATAATCTGCCTGGGACTGTCACAGTATTTCAGGTTAATTTGTTGCAGCACTGGTTATCCAAGCGTCTTCAAATCTTTCACTCAGAAATCAGCCTCTTTTCATTTTGTGGAATTTGGGCCAGCTATTCAAATGAAGTTTGCAAAGATCTGAGAATAGAAAATTTATATATAAAAATTATACTTTGAGCCGGGCATGGTGATACATACCTATAATCCCAGCATTTAAGGGGCTGAGTCAGGATTGTTGCAAGTTCGAGACTAGCCTGGGCTACAAAGTGAGTTCAAGGTCAGCATGAACTGATAGCGAGACCCTGTCTAAAAAAAAAAAAAAAAAAAAAGTCATGCTTCGATTTTGTGTCCACACCAAAACTACAACCAAGAGTACTAGGGGGACATACTAGTACAGAGAAAAATCAACAGAAAAACAAACTATAGTTCAATCACCAAATATTAATGGTACCCTCTGAGTCCGTAGATTTCTGGTAAATTTTTTTATAGGTTTTCATGGACTCTGCAATATTTTAAGAAGTGGAATTTTTTTTCCGCCAAAGAGTCTGGCTGTGCAGTTGAGGTTGGTCTTAAACTCACTTTAAACGTCAAGCCGGCCTAAATTTGTAGCAGTCTTCCTGCCTCAACCTCCCGAGTGCTGGGATTACAGGAGTCACTATGACGCTCTAAAAGCTGATTTTTCCACTCAGGAAAAGATAATCCTCGTGGTGTGTGCAGCCAAGCGTGTTTTGACAAAATTTGGATACTTCAAACTGGAAAACTTGCTCAAAGGTGGGAACAAAGGCAATGTAGAGCAAAAGCCTGGGAGACAGCGATCAAGGCGGTCACTACACGGTGAGGATTGGGGTCACTGATCAAAGAAAGCCACGCATTAAAACAAGTCAATGGGAGGGGTAGGCTTTCCCTCCTTTTCTAAATGATAAAACAGTGCAGCCCATAGGCTGAGCTCCCTTGCATAGAGTCGGCGGACGGGCCTCTAACTCCTGGCGATCTTCCCGCCTCAGCCTCCTGAGTGCGGAGATTGCAGCAGTTCAGCCCGCTCCCGGCCGCTCGCCTGTGTGCACCGAAGGAAAGCGACTGAAGCGCGCCGGTTCCCAGAGCAGATGGCTATACTTTCACTTTTGGATTTGGGAAGACAACGGTGGTTCCGTGCTGACTGCGCCCAGCGGACGGTGCACAGTGAATGTGTCTGGGAGCGGTGCACACCGGTGTGCACGGTAAACGTACCAACGCTTCTGAGGAGGGGAGATGACGTAAAAAGGTGCAAGCCCCACACTGTTGTTTCCGCCCGGTTTCGAACCGGGGACCTTTCGCGTGTTAGGCGAACGTGATAACCACTACACTACGGAAACCCTGTCCCAGGGATTGCTCCTTTATGTATTTGAATGTGACGCGCGACTGACACAGTCGCATAGTTGCGGGCTGGAGGTGGACGTGCTGTACCCACAGCATAGACTTCGCGGCTTGCAGCTCTGTTGCTCGGTCTCTTACGGGGAACGCGAAGTAAGCTTTTTCTTCTCTTCTATCTCCACTCCTGAACTACCTTCGTCATTACTCAGGTCAAAACTGTCAAAGAAACATGAGATATTTAAGAGTAAAAATAGAACGGGCTCGTCCGGGATTTGAACCCGGGACCTCTCGCACCCAAAGCGAGAATCATACCCCTAGACCAACGAGCCAACTGGCTCATAGAGTCTTGTTTATCTCTGATCTGATTCACGATGGATCGCTCAATCGCCGAGCGCACTGGCTTTGCCTCCGGCTGTTTAGCGCTCCCTCCGACTTGAAGTGGTCGCGCACCCTCCTGCCCCCTTAGGACCCTGAGCATTTCGCGCCCTTGGGTCTCCCGCTCTCCCGAGGACGGAAGGGGCCAGCACAGAGGGTGGGATCGGAGCCGTGGGCCCTCTGGTCCGGCTGGAGGGTAGTTCGTGGAGTTTTGTGAAAATACAACAAGCAACACATACTTGCAAAATGTTCAAAAAGCGTAAAGTTGCAGGCAGGAGCCCAGGTTTGGGATCTGGAGCCGCCGAAAGCTTTCTCTGCCCTGCAGTATGTGGTGCTACAAGATAATAATGCATTAGGTTCGCAATAATTCACTCCAAGGTGGGTCGTCGGTTTATTTTTGTGTCGCTAGCACAAATTTCCTCTGGCCGTTACAAATCTGTGTGGATCACTTTTACAACAAACTGGTGGCAGCAGAAGGAGCCGAGAACAGTTGAGAAACGACAATAGAAGTGAAAAGCAAACTGGATAGCACATGCAAAAGAATGAGTCTAGACTGCTGTCTCACTGGTCACAAAAATCAAGTCCCAAGGAATTCAAGATTTAAATGTAATGCCTGAAATTATGAAACTACTACAAGAAAGCATGGGGGAAATGCTTTGTGACATTGGTCTGGCCAAGGACTTCAGAAGCACAAGAAACAAAAATAAAAATAAACTCACCGATTACATCAAACCAAGAAGCTTCTGCACAGAAAAGATAGAGGCTGCCATTACAGAATAAGAAACTATCTTCAAATTGCATCTGACAGTGGATTAATACCCAGAATATATAAGAAACTCAAACATCTTACTGGGAAAAAAATCCAATTAAAAAGAAGCAAAATAACAAGCGACAAATATCATCAGGGAAATGCAAATCAAAACCACTATGGAACTAAAATGTCTGGAACTAAATGTTCTCCCAAAGTGTCCATTCAGAGAGGGGCCGGGTTTGAGGGGTAGGTCACTGCGGTATGACTAGAAGGGCAGTTTTCTGCCCCTGCCTCTGACTCTCTCTCTCTCTCTTCTCCCTGGCTGCAGTGTGTTGAGCAGCTTCGCACCACTGGACCCTTCCACCATGCTTTTTTTCCTTGGCGCCAAGTGCCGTGGACTTGATGCGCTAAAATTGTGACCCAAATTAAACTTTTACCTTTTTAAAATTGTGGAACCAGGTATTTTGTTCCAGCACGGAAAAGTGACTAATACAACACATTTTTGAGTCATTACATTGTATCCTGTACGTATATGTAGTTACTGCCAAGTATAGTGGTGCTCACCTGTAATTACACTTCCAGCGCTCTGGGAGGCTGAAGCAGAAGGGTTGCAAGTTTTGAGCCAGCCTGGGCAATTTAGGGAGACCCTGCCTTCAAATAAATAAAAAAGCCCTGCAGAGTGGCTCACACCTGCATCTCAACACTTGAGAGGCTGAGGCAGCAGAATTGTTGAGAGTTTGAGACCAGCCTGGACTACAAATCGAGCTCAAGGCCGGCCTAAACTCCATAGTGAGACCCTGGAGACTGATGCTGGTTAACCTGTTCTGAGGAAAACATGCTATTTTTCTCTTCCCACTTTTGTAGAGCTTGGTCAGCCCCTCTGTGCTACCCTCTGCATTTGCTCCTCCTCTCTGGCTCTTTGAAGTCCAGCTCTCCGCCCACTGAGTCCCTGCAGGCCGGTTCTTAGCCCTCCTCTCTTCCCACCAGTGAATGTCCCAAGTGAAGCTGTGACCAGTTCCCTCGTAGGCTGGGATCCGGGACTTTGAGAGTAAAGAAGTTTGAAGCCCACAAAACAGTAAGCAGTATACGTGTTTTTTAGAAAGAATAAAATGAAAAGCTCCCTGCTTGTCCAGGAGGGGTCAATGTAGATGTTTAAGTCCATTGGCCTTTTACAGTTTTTGATGTAAGCGACCTTGACAAAGTACAAGAGTGTCCCTGGTTGCTTAGACGGCCCCCACCAAGCTGCTTTGTTTGCATTTCACTTCCTCCAGGCGTATTCCATTTGTTTAGGAATCTGTTCTTTGTCTTTGTATTCCATTAGGCCTCAAGTTTACTTAAGGTAATTATTAGGGTCTTTTGTTTGTGAACACACTTAAGCCCTGATTTTTACTTTGCGTAGGTTAACTTTTAAGGACCAGTGCCCTGTCTATCTCACTAGCGATGCACATCAGCTACTCTTTCCGCCCCTTAAGCCTCACCGGACAGCCTTTGGAGCCTTGGGCCCCCAGAATGCAAGGCCTGCACTTCATTCATTAATGCAGCTTTTCTAGGGGCACCACCACCTACCTGCCCGCGCGTCCCTGTCCCTGTCTGTCCGACACACGCACGCGTAGCGCTGCACACGGCGGCCCCGCGACTCGGGCTCCATGGTAGGTCATCCCCTGCGGGACAGGCTCTGCGTGGCAGAGACTTGAGGGGCGGCCGTTCCGACGACTAGAGTGTTCCCGGCCTCGGGGGACCCGGCCCGGGGAGCGGAGGCTCACGCCGCGCTGAACCCCGCCACGCGCAGCGCCGACTGCTGAGTCCGGCGGGACCGCGCGGGGAGGAGAGGAGCTCGCCCCGCGCGGAGGATTCCTCCCGCTTCGCCCGGTGAGGAGATCCGGGCGAACTGAGGTCGTGGTTTTGGGCCGGGGTGTCAGGATTTCCGCTTGCGCTTTCTTGCTGTTGTTTTGGTTTGGTTTAGGTTTTGTTTTTACCTGCAGAAGGTTCTGCAGGGGCGCGGGTGCTGTGATGGCACCGCACCGGCCCCGCGCGGGTCCCAGGCGAGGACCAACCTTTACCTGGAGGCGGTGGAAGGAAAACATAAAGAAAGAGACGTAAGGAGGTAGCTCAAAGCGCGGTCGAGATTTGGGGAAAGGCAAAAAGCGACAAGGCCCCAGCGAGATTTGAACTCGCGACCCCTGGTTTACAAGACCAGTGCTCTAACCCCTGAGCTATGGAGCCCGACACGCTGACTGTTGCTGCCACAGGGGTAGTTGTTACTGTTGTCACGGCGCAGCCGCAGCTCTCGGGATTAACTGGCAACCGTCAGTGCGGCTGAGCTGGCCCTCGCAGAGAGCAGGCGGGCAGAGACTGCCGGCTAGGCGTAGGAAAGGTCTGCGGCGCGGCCTGGCGGAGCCTGGGAAAAGAGCCTCGCTCAACTGAGGACAGACCTGAGCCTCGGGCGAGCGAGGCAGGGTTGAAGCGAAAGGCGCAGTAACCGCTTTCTTGTGCACCAGAAGAGGAGTCCAGACCGCACAGCTACAGGTAGGACAAGGGAGGTCATCGAAAGACCTGTCCTGTAGGAAATCTGGGCCAGAGCGGGTGGCGGTGACGGGACCTGCCTGAGAGAAAGTGCTAGGGGAATCAAAAGGTCGAGATGTTCGGAGCTGCTCGCCCAAGGTCAGAGTCAAGGTCCAAAGTCTCCTAGAACCTGCCTGAAATGTGGGGCAATTAGGAAGGACACTTCTTAGTGCACATGTTGGCCCTCTGAGAGCTGGGCCATCGGCGCTCCCCGGGGGCCCGCCAGATAGCGGACAAGGAAACAAGTGGGGCATCAGAGCACAAGAAGTAAAAATGCTGGAGGAACCTGCTAGGGTAGCCGAGGATCACAGATCTTGGCCTGGATCACAGATCTAAAAGCCCAGGCGACTTGAGTCACTGGGTGGCCAGGCCAGAGTGCCCTTTAATCTGAATGCCTAGGAACCTCTGAGGACTGGGTGGCAGTTCTGGGTTCTCCTCGATCTGGTATTAATGGGTGGGGCACACAGGACCTGTCAGGCCAGCGATGGTTCTCAGCGTTATGCTGCCCGAGGGGTGGGAGGGGGAAATGCATGGTTTCTCACACTAGCCATGTATCGCCCAGGCTCTGTGCCCTAGTTGTTCTTGTGTACAAGAAAGAACATCACTTTCCCTCTCTGTAACTGTATTGATAACTGGGGTTACAATTCTTAGCCACCTTCACAAACACAAAAGCTGAAAATGGATGGTAGACAGCTACTGCCACAGTCCCCATTCTTGGTCTATCAGGTGTATATTGGCACCTCTGCCAGACTTGCAGGCCTTTATGACCTGTAATGTCCTGTGATACTTAGCACAGTTTGTTGTTAAGTGCCACAAAGGAATTGTGCCTCAGCCTCCCAAATGCCAGGATTATAGGTGTACCCAGATGTTATAGTGTCAATCTAAAAGGTTTCCCAGTGCCAGATGTGGTGGTGCAGGCCAGTAATCCCAGCACTTGGGAAGCTGTGGCAGGCCAGCCTGAACTACCTAGCCAGACCCTGACTCAAAAAAAAAAAAAAAAAAAAAAAAAAATCTCCCAAAAGTCTCATCTCTTCAGAGGTCGAGTTTCTGGAAAGTGGTTGGATCATGAGGTGCTGTATTCATCAGTGGATTCATGGTGGAATATCCAGGCAGTAGGTGGGAGCTGGCTGGATGTGGGACCTAGCAGCAGAACCTAGAAGGATGAACTCCTGTCCTTTGCACCTCCCTTCTCTCTGCTTCATGGATACCATGACCTGAGCAGTTTTTCTTCTTTGGGCACTTTCACCACATAGTGCCTGCGTTGGAGCCAGCCAAATAGGGACAGAAGCCATTGACATTGAGCCGAAATAAACCTGTCCTTTAAATTGTGGTTGTCAAGTATTTTGTTTTAGTGATGGGAAAGTAACTAATACATTTGGCAAATACTTAACAAAAAATCAACAGTAGCATATGACGGGTTGACTTAGAGCTATTTGCATCACCTATACCCTATGTACCTACTCATAAATGCCCTGTCTAAAATCCACATGTCCCTCACTCCAAATGTCAGGTATAAATATATGCACCTTGGGGCAGGGGATTTAGCTCAGTGGCATGAGCACCTGCCTGGCAAGCCTGAGGTTGTGAGTTTGATCCTCAGTACACACACACACAAAACAAGCATATGTATCTCATATATATGAACACAGAGCAGATGCTCAGTCATTATTAGTAGAAACCCTTGCTCAGCTTGTCCTTTTGTAACCAGACCAGAGGAGATGACAAGAGTCAAGCCATCTATAAAGATGAGTTCACAATCTGTATTTCCATCTCCTGGTGTCCCTTTCCAGGGAGCAGCAAGCTGGGTACAACACGCTATCACCCTTCCAAAAGCCCAGGCATCCAGAAGCTGGGAAACATCTGCCAGGAGAATGAAGTCGGCCCTCTGAACACCCTCCTGGACACAGGCTGAGCAGGCCTTGGCAACAGGAAACTACTGTTAGCATGTGTTCAGCAAGTTCCAAAAAGGCTGTTGGGAGCATGTGTACGGTCTGTGCATTTCTGTGCCAGTATGAGTTGCATGTGTAAAATTATCTGTGCTGACATGTGTTTCAAAATTCTAGAAGCTTTGATTTCCTCACTCAAAGGAGACTGTCTTCTGATACTGGAAAATAGGTCAGGTATCTGTGATAACACATGTCTGTTGTACTGTGGTCAGGAATGCACAGTCCCTCTGCATCATCAGGTTGAGGCGTGTTGGACAGTAGTAATGCCCATAAGCTTTGTCCTCACCTTTCCCCTCAAGGGCCTCCTAGTTCTAACCAGACTGAACTCCCAAGCTGGGAGGATAGTATGCGTTCCTAAGTAGGTAGTCAGGTATAAGTCAGCTACAGCCAGAAATCTCATGACCTCTCAAGGCAGAGGTGGCAAGGAAACAAATTGATAACAAACATGGCTGGCCCAGGGTCAAACCTGGCCCTGTATCAGGACCACAGTGTGGCACTGTTCCTTGGAACCAGAGCCTGTCTCAATCAGAGTAGAAGTTTCATGTAATAGGAAGCACCCACATGCCTACAATTCATACCCTCACAATTAAGGCCACATTTACGTGCCCAGGAATAGGGCAGGTACAGGTCCCAGAGGTCCAAGGCATCTCTTTCCCTGCTCCATGGATCACAGTCCATCAGTTCTTCATGCTTCCCATGTTGTGCTCTGTAGGGCAGCCTGGAGCAGGAGTGCGGAGGGCAGGCCAAGAGTGAGATTAGACGGTTGAGAGGAGAGGAGTTCACACACAACTGACCCTTGGCCTGGAAGCTTATCCTGCCTCAAGGCCAGATTCGCAAGTAGGTGCCAGTGGAGCAGACTGAGAAAAGGGGGAACACGCGCTCCTGGAAGTTGACTCGGAAAGTATAGAGGTGGCGCATGTCCTCTACAGCATAGAAGGACACTGCCCCCACCTCCAAGTCCAGGGCCACTCGCACGCGAGACAAATGGCCACAGCTGAGGGGTGTCCGCTCAGGGCTGGTGACAGCCCAGTACTGCCCATTGTTTAGCTGCAGTGCCCAGACACCTTCCTCTGGGGTGAAGGGTGTGAGACCCTTGCGGCGCACACTCTCACGGGCCACACCAAAGGCCCAGCCATCCTTGGAGCCCACTTCCACTTCCCAGTGGTGACGTCCAGAAGAGAAACCACAAGATGCCAGGACACGAGTGTTGGTGTCAAAGCGGTGAGGGTGACTGGGCAGGTCCTGAGCCCGCTGTCCAAGTCGCACACTCTTAAGATCCAAAGAGAGGATGAGGCGAGGGTTGGCCGTATTGGGGTCCAAAGTGAGCTCCACTGTAGAGGGGAACAAAAGAGAGACATTCTCATACAGGTTCTTTCCACAGACCCTCTTCTCACAGAGCCACAACCCCTCCCTTCTTTGAAAACCTGCCTTCCCTTCCCCGAAGAATCTTTCTAATGCAGAGGACCAATTGACCCTCCACCCTCTGCCTTACAGGTATTTTATTGCCTCACACTCCCACTCAACAAGTGCTTTCTGAAGTCAAACAAATGCAATGTGAGAGTTGGATTTGAACCCTAATATAAGCAGATCAATACATCCAATTGCAAAGATAACTGGGAAAATCTTAACACGATATTAGAATCATTTTCTAGGTATGATGATGGTTTTGTGGCTATATTTTGTAAAGGTCTTACCTCTTTAGAGATAACATACTCAGATTTGTATGGAAATATCTGTGATTTGCTTTAAAATAATTCAGTGGGAATAAGTAGGCACAATGTCTGAAAAATACTACCCACAATTGATAGTTGCTATATATGATAACTATACATTTGATACAGTCTGTTGAGTATATTTCAAAGTCTCCATCATAAAAAGTTAAAATATGTACCCTTGTAAGCAAGACTATTTTCCAGGCACTGTACTGGGCATTGGATATATAACAGAGAATAAAACACTTGAGTATCTCTACTCTCTTGACACTACTTCTCTAGCTGAGAGAGAGAGGCAATTAATGATAAACAGGAGATAAGAAGGATCAGAAGAGAAGATTTATTTCAACCACGCCCAAGAGAAGTCTCACTAGAAAGGTGTGTTTCAACAAAGTCAAAAGGAGATGGGAAATTCACTCAGGCAGCTGTTTAGGGAAGTGTACTCCAGGTTGAGGGGTAGAATGTGGTGGAAGGACCCTGGATGCATGCTTGATTCCTTCTGGCAGCAGTAAGCAGAGTGAGTGGTTGCAGAGTGAGCTGGAGGAGTGCGTGCAGGGAACCCAGACACTCTGGGGCGTTGAAGGCCATCATGAGGACAATGAGGTTTACTGAATTAATGGAAAGTGGTCATCACAGGGTGTGGAGCAGAGGAGAAACTCGGTTTCAGCTAAATTAGGTCAGATCTTAACCCATATGTACTACAAGCCTCTCCATCTCACCCTTGGTGTTAGATACCACACACTCCAGCACTCAGCAGTAATATCCATCTTCCTGATTACCATCTGGCCTGCTTCCCCTATCCCCCTGCACATGTCCCCCCTACTCAGGAGAGGTTTCCACCTGTCTTCATGTGGAGACAGAGGAGAAAGGTTCATCTAGGTGATGGACAGGCCTTCCCTAAGCTAAGTAACCCAAGGCCACAAAATCCCCCACACTCCTGTTATGGTTTAAGTCTGGATGTCCACCCAAAGCCTTATGCAGTCAGAGAGGTGGGCTTCTAGAGTTTCTGAATAACCCATGGCCCAAGTGGGTGTGGCCTACATACACTATAGGGGCCACAGTGTTCTCTCCATGTTCTTTTGCTCTTGTTGCTTGTGCTCTTTTCCACTGCCATGAACTGTTGCTCTTTGCTTTGGAGCCAGCTGATTATGGACTGAAACCTCCAGGAACTATGAGCTAAATAAACCTTTCCTTCCTTAACTTGGGTGTCAGGTATTTTGTCTCAGCAGTGAGAGAAAAGTAACCAAGACAACTCTTGATCAACCCACAGCTCTGAGATCAGTGGATATCACTAACCCCTGAGAGTGTCAGAGCTGTCAAGGCGAGGACCAGGAAAGGCCTAGAGAAGGAAAGCCATTGAGGCAGGTTGGCAGAAGCAACCAACAGTAAGCAAAGCCCAGAGACAGTCCACAGCAGGGGGTGAGTTCTCTACTGCACTCATTATCAACCACCATCCATACCTTTCTCCTCTTTCTCCATCTCCCCTTGAAGATCTTCTGAAGAGGAAAAAGAAGGCAGAGTATGTATGAACAACATGGGAGATGGTCTGGCAGGAACACCCACTCCTTCAACATTGATAGCCCATCTGACTATTTATTCCCCAGGTACTCTGAGGCCCAAGGTTGGTGTGGAGGCACAGGGCCTACCACAGGGCAGGGAGTGGACAGGGGACAAACTCCTGAGTAGTTTATCTCCCCCTCTTCCCACCTCTCTCTCTTTGCCCAGATCTATTCTAAACTGGGTTTTTCCTCCTCAACTCATATACCCAATACCCACCCACCCTGTATAACCCCATGGAAAGCTGCATGCCCAGGGGAACCTACAAACATATTTGCTACTTCTACCTTTCTACACCAAAATGACCTTGGCATCCCCTAGCTCCTGTTTCTTCACACAGGCTCTGGGAAGGCACACCCCCAAGACCCTTGAACTTCCAGGAACTATCACTATCACACAGGAACTAGCCCATACTTGGGCCTTTACCTTTGAACTTCTTCAGAAGCCCTTTTAAGATGAAGGTTTTGAGAGAAATATTCCAGACTTTATTCTTCATCTCAGAGGAGACTGTGGTTGGCTTGGGGGCAGGCACATTGCTGCACCTGCAGGACACAGACCCTCAGAAAGGTACAAGAATACTATTTCCCTACCAGTGGGCTATGAGAATTGCAACAGTGCTATGGTTTGCGTAAGTTTCCCCCAAAGGCCCATGTGTTAAAGGCTTGGCTGCCAGCCCGTAGTGCTATGGTGGAACCTTTAGGAGGTAGGGAAGAAGTGAGGTCACTGGCAAGCATGTCCTTGAAGGGAATATTAAGGCTCTAGTTCCTCTTTTCTTTTTTGTTTCCCAGCCACTTCCTCCACCACACACTTTCACAATGTTACCTGGCCACCAGTTCAAAAACAATAAGGCCAAGCAACCATGGAGCGAAAACTCTGAACCATGAGCCCAAATATACCTTTCCTTCCTTTAAATGGATTATCTTAAGTTATTCTGTCTCCATACGTAAAGCTAAGAACACCGACAGTGAGGACATACATAACTAACACAGAAAGTGATGAAAAGGACAGGGAAAGTCAGACCTTGTTCTGGAAATACCCACAGCCAGGTAAGTGGGCATTTGCCTTAGAAGGTACCCAGATGGGGTACCTTCTGGGGGGTTAGAGGATCAGGAGGTGAGATACAGAGGAGGGGATACAGGAGAGAGCAGTAGAAAAGAAGAGCAAGGGTTGAAAGACCCACAGAACTCAGTTTTACTCACTTGCTTAGTGCGCTCTTGAATTCCTGGAAGGAAGAATGTAAGAAAGCCAAGTCAGCATCAGGGACTTTCATTCATCTCTGAGAAAAGAAAACTTGCCCCTTCCCCTGTCTTCATGAAAATAAGCAATAAGTGAGCAATAAGCAAATATACAGCTCCCACCACCTGCACGATGAGCCTATCAAGGGACAATAGATTTCAACACTGCTGGCTGCTGGGTAATCCCGCAAATGCTTACTACACCTCTGAGAAATTTTTATTTGTTACAGAATCTCAATTGCGTAAGTTTCCCCCAAACCCACCATAAAGAATCTGGTGGTACCCAGTGTTTGTCTCTGCTCTTGAAACCTGAAATAGGTCACAGATCTTATGCAATGATAGGTCACTTTGACTAATGTTTGTTTTACTCCCAGTACTGAAGACTGAATTTGGTACTTTGCACATGCTAGGCAAGAACTGTACCATTGAGTTATACCCTAGTCCTTTTTATTCTTTATTTTGAGACAAGGTCTTGCTAAATTACCCTACCTAGCCTCAAACTCTCTCCACCATTCTGCCTTAAAGCCCTATTCCCCACCCCCCACACTGTACCGCCCAATTTCTAGGCTTGCATGTGTATGTCACCACTCCCAGCTAAGTGACTGGTTTTTGTTGTTGTTGTTTGTTTGTTTTTGGTCCCGAGATTGAACTCATGACCTCGAGTTTACCAAGCAGGCACATATGCCACTGAACTAAACCCCCGGCCTCAAAGTGATCTTGACAGAGTTGTGGTTTATGGGTTATAACTCTTTTTTAAAAGTTAGAATTTAAAATCATCAAAGAATATTACAGACCACAACAGTAATATTTTCTGAGGCTTTCATCTCAAGTATACATGTATGGAATGCAATGTAAGATATATTACTGTGGCTCAGGGCCAAGGAAGTTTTAAGAGGCTGCAAAAGTAGCTTAGTGGCATAGCGCTTGCTTAGCAAGCACAAGGCCCTAGGTTTGATCCCTAGTACCACCATATTCATAAGAATGAAAGAGAGTTTTCACATCCCTTTTGACTTCCAGCTCCAGGAAAATCAGGGCACTGCTCTCTGCTACTCTTTAGCTCCAGATAATATAACTGTACTAACTCTCAGGATCCTCACCATTTGCTAGCTGCCATTCCTGGTGCTTTAGAATAAATAATACTTGGGGATAAATGGCTCAGTCAAAACCTTGAGCTAGACTCACCTGGAGGAAGTCAAGGTCAGGCTTTTGAGCTGTCTCCTGGATCTGGCTGCTGAGTTTGGAGAGCTGAGTGATCTGGCCTCCCAGTTGGGCCAGATTCTCATTTTGCTTCTTGGTCACTTCCCGTGACAGCTCCTCCAGGCGGCCCAGAAGCCGACCCTCCTGCTCCACTAGAAAGGCCCGCAGTGCCTGGAACTCTGCCCCCACCTTCTCTCTCTCTGCTGCCATCTGCTTCTGCCCCCCGGGAGGAAGAGAAGTTGGAGAGATGAGGGGAACTGGGCATCGAGACGTGCAATTTGGATAGGAGCCTCTGAGTTATTCCACAGGACAGGCTTCCATCCCCCTTACTGCCTCAGGGACTAGCAGCTCATCCATGCCTTCGTGCCTTGCCCTCCTCTGCTGTGGTTGTGGTGGGTGTGTCTTTGGGCTTGAGCTGTACCACCTAAACTAGAGCAACTTTAAACTCCCCCTGAAACTACCTCAAGTTGTAATTGTCTGATCTGAAAAATAAGGGGGATAAATTAGTGTCTCCTGGGGCATTAAACTTAAACTGCTTCTTGTCTTTTCCAAAACAGTTATTTTGTTACCCTTAAATGTCACTATTCAGTTTACTTCTTTTTAAATGGCACATTTAGCAATTATAGTGATAATGCATTTTCAAAATACAAAACTTGGAAGAAGCAAGAATTAAGGAATTAAAACATGATACAAGCAGCCAGAGGTAACAGACCACCCAGGATACCTAACTGAGAATATGCTGTGTGAAGCTGGATATTCTGTTCTTTATGTTGGCATAATACTCAGAAATTTTCCCTATGTTTCTAGATAAACACTCCTCTCCAGATTGCCTGATTTTTTCACATGGACAAATATGTGGCACTCTTCCTGATAATTCACATGGCCTCTCATGGTCAATGACAATGAGAAGAATTTTGTCCCACCAGGACAAGCTCAATTGTCAAAGTTGCTTTCCCCTAAAAACTTTAAGGAAGAGAAAGAGATAGATGGTTGGAGGAGTAGGGGTATAGATGGCTCAGTATAGGGGGCCTGGTGTTGGGGTCAGGACACTGGATATAGATTTTGGTTCCCCACACTTCCCACCATGCCCTACTTTACCTGCATCACCAGACACTGCACAAACACAGCTACACAGAGCACTTTTATAGGTATTAACTTTCTCATCCTAACTTTCTTCATCCCCCAATGAAGGGGGGTACACTTTTCTCATCCTACTTCACAGGTGAGGGGAAAGAGGCAGAGGTATGTACGCATCAGTAGTAAGTGAAAATCTGATCCCGGAGGCTAAACTACATCATGTTGCCTCATATGGAAAAAACTTAAGTATGTTTACCAAAATTTCTTGGGTTTGAAATGACCCCAAAAGATTCATGATGGAAAACTAAATGTACAAATCCATGTTAGTGGTATTTGTAAGTGGGACTTTCCTTTGGAGGTAATGAGGGTTTGATGGGGCTGGGGCCTACCTGACAGCATTAGTGACTTTATCAAGAGAAGTAAGCTGGGCATGGTGATGCAGTGGTGGTTGGTAGCCCTACCACCTTCGTGGTCCCATACACAGCTCACCAGTAGCTCCTTGCTCTCCTTTTCTTCCATAGACCGGAACACCTCATAGTCCTCCAGATCTTTCTTCAAGACCTTCAGCTTGGAATCCAAGTGCTCCTGCAGGTGAAAATGGAGAGGACTGGACCACCCCTGTCCCCCACAGGGCTCCCCTTCTTGGAGCCAAGCCAGAGAAAGGGAAGGCTCTGTGTCTGCAGGAGGAGGCTGCATAGGAGTCATCTCTGGAGTTTGGAATACATATACATTTTATGGAAACGAAGCAACTGCCAGAGATCCAAAGGCCTGAAAGTCCCACTTCCTCAAAAGCATCAGCCAGCAGATCTAGGCTGAAACACTGGTCCTCCACAATCCAACCCTTGTGTCCTCTGTCTGTCCTCCCTACCAATAGAAATCCTTGGAAGGATTGGGGCAGGGCAGAGGAGCAAAGAAACACTTTTGCCAGAGGTCTTCGCACACCTCTGTGATGTCATCCTTAGCAAGAAAACAGTGGGCAGGGGGCAGAATCCACCGCTTGGCATAGCCCAGACATCTCTGGGCACTCCATTTAACTCAGGGACTACCCAGCTCTCCCCTAGATCGCTGGGAAGGTGGTCTTCCTGGGTCTCATGAAATGGAAGCAGGGAAGGGGAGGACAGCGGGCACTGTGGACCTGTGAGTGTGACTCTGACCTGTTGCTCAGGCGAAGAGATACTGTTACACTTGGCTTAGGGGCTGAGGACAGACTGGAAGGAAGTGGCCAAGTCCCTGTGGTCATCATATAGGCTGAGCAGCACAGGTGTCAGAAAATCATGCTTTGGGGGCTGGGAATGAGCACTGAGAGGGGAATAGCTCCAGGCCTGAGCACCAGTGCTGGGCAGTGTGGGAGGGGAGAAGGGAGGCAGGGCTCACTGGCCTCTGTCCTGCCTGCCTGTCCTCTAAGCAGCGCGGGCAGGAAGGCCGCACCCAGCCAGGACCCCGGGCCCCGCCGCGGGGATCCAGCGCTCACCTTGGCTTCCTGCACCGCCTCGTCCAGCGGCAGCACCGCATGCACTCGGTGCTCGCGGGCGCGATCGCACACCACGCAGATGGCGCGGCCGTCGTCCTGGCAGTACAGCTTGAGCGGCTCCCCGTGCAGCGGGCAGCGGGCGGCCTGCGGCGGGGCGCGCTGCTCGGGCGCGGCGGCGGGCAGGCTGAAGCGCCGGAGGAGCGCGGCCACGGCGGCCAGGTGCCGGTTGGGGCGCAGCTGGCCGGGCCGCGCGGGCTCGCGGCACTGCGGGCAGGGCAGCGGGCGGGGCGCCGCGCCCGGGGGCTCCCAGCAGCGCGCGATGCAGCCGCGGCAGAAGCTGTGGCCGCACTCCACGGACACCGGCTCGCGGAAGAGCTCCAGGCAGATGGAGCAGGTCGCCTCGCCCTGCAGCTCCGCGGCCAGCGCCAGCGCCTCGGCCCCCGCGCCCGGCCCGGCCCGCGGCCCCACCGCCGCCATGGCGCCCCGGACGGACTCGGGGCCGCGCCCTGCACCCCGCGCGGGCGCCCGGCCCGACTGGGTCGGCAGCGGGGAACGGGCCCGGGTGGGCGCGCAGGCCGCGCTGGGCGCCGCTGCCCACCACCGCCAAGGCCCAGGCACTGCCGGGCAGCGGCCTGGCGCCGGGCCGCGGGGTCAGGTTCCCGAGCTCCGGTTCGCGCTGGCCCTGCGCCGAGCTAAACTTAGGGCCTGGAGCCCTGCCTTGAACCCGCACTCGGAAGCCGGGCCTTGTTTGCTCCTCTGGAACCTCCTACAGCGGTTCTTTTTTGTTTGTTTCTCCTTTTTTAAAATCTATTTTATTTTAAAGAGAAGAAACAAAATTTCAAACCAATATAATACGACAGAAACTATGGTAAATACACTATGTATTGTTATCTCTCATTTAGTCACTCAAAGTACAATATATTGGCATTTCATTGTCCAAACAATATTAACACAAACCTTTATTTTCAATGAACTAAGAGAAATTAGTAGTATAACTCTTATTGTGTGTATATATATATGTGTGTGTGTGTGTGTGCATATATATGTATATATATATATATATATATTTTTTTTTTTTTTTGCTTTTTCTTTTCTTTCCTTCTTTCCCCTGTCACAGATTCTTTTTGAACAGTTACTTTCATTTGACAGTATCTATTATGCCTTGTGGATCTTACTATCCCTTTCAGCTTCTCACACTAGGAAGACAATAGGATGTTTACACATGAGTCTGATTTATTCCCTTAGGAATATGGTCTGGAGTTGCATTCATTTACCTATGAAAGTCTCCAATTTATCCTTCTTTATGTCTGAGTAGTACTCCATTGCATAAATATACCACATCGTTTTTTATCCGTTCCTCAGTTGATAAGTGTTTGGGTTGTTTCTAAGATCTAGCTATTACAGATTGTGCTGCTATAAACATGGGTGCACATATATCACTGTGGTGCAATGGTTTTAATTCTTCTGGGACGATATACAGAAGGGGAACAGCTAGATCAAATAGGACCTCTAATCCTAAATTTTTTAGGAATCTCCACAATGATTTCCACAGTGACTGCACCAGTCTATACTCCCACCAACAGTGGAGAAGTGTTCTTTTTCCCCACAGCCCTCCAGCATTTATTATTGATTTCTTGATGATAGCGACTCTTTCCAGGTGAAATGGAATCTCAGTGTTGTTTTAATTTCATCTATCTAATAACCAGTGATGTTAAACATTTTTTCATATATGTATTTGTTGTTTTTATTTCTTTACCTGACAAATGTATATTCATCTCAGATGCCCATTTTTACATTGGGTCTTTAAATATGGCAGGTCTGATTTTTTTTTTTTTTTTTTGGTTCTTTCTATATTCTTGATAGTAGTCCTTTGTCTGAGGAATAGCTGGAAAATACTTTTCCCACACATTGTGCATTGCCTCTTCAGTCTACTGGTGGTTTATCTTCTGTGCAAAAGCTTTTTAATAAAATGAGATCTTGGTTGTTGATTCTCTGTGATACTTCCTGTGTGATCACGGTTTTCTCCTTAGTCTCTGCCTACACCAGTGTCTTCAAGGGTTTTACCTATTCTATCTTCTAGCAGATTTAATGTTTCTGTTTTAGTATTTAGATCTTTGATCCATTTCGAATTAAGTTCATCCGAGAAGTATGTATTCATTTTAGATGCCTGTTTTTGGACTGGATCTGGGAAGATGATTATTTTGAATTCTTTATACGTTCTCAATAGTAATCCTCTGTCTGAGGTGCAACAGGTAAACATTTTCTCCCGCGCTGCAGTTTGTATCTTCACTCTGCTGGTGGTTTCTTTTGCTGAGCAAAAGCTTCTCAATAGGGTAAGATTCCAGTATTGATTCTTTATGGTAGTTCCTGTGCAGTTGGGGTTTTGTTCATAAAATGTTTTCCTACACCAATGTCTTCAAGAGTTCTCTACCTACTCTACCTTCCAGCAGATTTAATGCTTCTGTTTTAATATTTAGATATTTGATCCATTCTGATTTTAGCTCAGTACATGGTGAAGTATATGGATCCATTTTAATCTTCAGCATGTGTAGAGCCAAGTTTTTCTAGTGCCATTTAGTAAAGAGGCTATGTTTCTTCCAATGAACGTGTTTGGCACCTGTGTCAAAGATAAAATGGTTTAGCGCTGCCACCTATGTGGCTCTTGAGGTTCTTAGGGTGAAGGACCATGAAAGGATGAGAAAATTGAGACTAAAGTGGGGTCAAGTGGAGCCCTTACCCTCCTGATGGGAAGAAAGAAACTGCCCCCTCACTATAAGGGTGTTTATATCTTTTAGCAACTTAATGTCATATGACAGCCTGTTGTCCCATTAACCCACTGTTTGGATTGCCTTGGGACTAGGTGGTCTCTGAGCTGAAGAAGCTTCTTCACATGGCTTGTTCTAGATGCTCTTTGTTCTTGGGGTAGTTGTGCTCCAGCCTGCATGTGGGGTCAATTTCCAGCTTCAACAGCTCCCAATGGTTTAGTATGTCTGGAGTTGTTTCCATATCTCAATAGTTTAGTATGTCTGGAGTTGTTTCCATATCTTCTAATCCGTTCCATTGATCCTTGGATCTCTTTTTTTGTGTGTGTGCCAGTACCACACTGTTTTTATCACAGTATTTGTATAGTATATTTTCAAGTTGGGGGTTATAATGCTCCCTACTTTTCCTTAGTTGCGTAGGACTGCCTTTGCTATTCTAGGTCTCTCTTAGGATTGTGTTTTTTACTCTTTTTTTTTGTTTTTGTGGTTTTTTTTTTTTTTTTTTTGGTGCCAGGGATTGAACTCATGACCTTGCACTTGCCAGGCAGGAACTTAAGCCTTTGAGCTAAATCTCCAGCCTCTAAGGGTTGTGTTTTTTAATTCTGTGAAATGTGCTTTTGGAATTTTGATTGTGATTGCATTAAATCTGTGTAACACTTTTGGGAGTATGGCCATTTTCACTGTACTGGTTGTTCCTATCCAAGAGAAAGGAATATCTTTCCATTTTTTCCTTAATATTTGAAGTAATACAATTAATCAGCTTTCTCACTTCTGAAGCCGTGTTCCTTTCCTCTCAGGCGCTGCCCTCTCTTGTGCCTCTAGCTAGTCTCCATTGCCCCACTCATACCCACTGGTCCTCCTTCCTGTGGGAGTCCTTTGGGCAAACGCTTTCTCTCCTACCTTTCTTAATGACCTCACCCAAAGGTACAGACAGACCTCAGCTCGCTGGTCCTCTGATGATCCCTCTCTCTTGACGCCTTCTTCGTAGCCTGCTAAGACACTTTATTCTGACTTTTCTCTCATGTCTTTGGCCTCCTATGGCATCTTAGCCTTGTTATGGTTTCCTTTCCCCCCTCCACCTTTGTTCACCCCTTGGGCCTCTGTCTACACTACTTCTTTGCTAAAGCTTCCACTTTCTTGGTTTAAAAGGCCCTCCCTTGCCTGATGACCCCATAATACTAAGTAAAAGTCATGATCCTTACAATAAACTAAGAATCCTCTCCATTCTTTGCCCCCAGTTCCCACATCTGTATGTCCGTTTCCACTCTTCTTTCTGGTGGTAACTCCATCCCAGCTACCTGGCTCTCCTTCATATTCCTACACTACATCGGAAAGACCTCATGGTGTTCGCACTGGTTGTTCCCTTTGCCCTATTGTCTCCCACATTCCTGTACAACAGCTCACTTTCCACCTCTTTCCAATCTCATGTCAGCGGTCACCTTGTCCATGAAGCCTACCTGACCACACATACTGTTTATACACTAACTTCCCACGATGAATGTAATCACTCTGTGCAAATATGTACTAATAAAAATTAAAATAAAAGAAAAAAATGTCTCTTAACAAGTTCCTGCCAGGCGTGGTGGCACACACCTGCAATTCTAACATCTGAAAGCCAGAAGATCACTGTGGCTGGAGGCCAACCTGAGCTACAAACTGCGTTCAAGGCCAGTCTGAACTACATTGGGAGACCATGTCTCAAAGAGCCAATAAAACAAAACAAAACAAGCCCCACCCAAAACACTCCCACAAGCCTCCTCCTCATTGTTGGCTTCTTTCCCTAGCACTCCCCCCTCTAGAATGTGACTCGAAAAGGGATGGGCTGTGTTATTTATTCACTGAAATTCCCAGCTTTCAGGGCAGTCGTTAGCACATTCAGTAAATATTTTCTTGAACAGATTCAAAATTCAGAAGATTAACAGTGGAACATTTCTCCAACACCTGTTTCCCACATTCTTTCTTCAACTCAAGCAATTATTTTTAGTATTCTGGGTTACTTTATTTAAATTTTCTATATTTTACAACCCTTTTTAAAAAATGAAACATACAGTGTTTCTTATTTCCCTTTCTTGGGTCAGAGTTCATTTTGGGCATGGACCCTAAACACTTCCTACCCTTCTGCCACTGCGGCTTTCCGGTTATACAGAGCCTGCCTCGGAATTCTGGTCCCCTGGGTGGCTATTTCATTGTCTAGGGTAAGCGGAGGCGCCTGGAGCAGCTCGCGGCTCTGCGAACTCGTCTCCTAGCAACTGGACACCCTCGCACCAAATTCTATAGTACCTTAACAGACTGTAGGAAAGACTACTGTGCTGTGTGGGGATGTAGCTCAGTGGTAGAGCGCATGCTTTGCATGTATGAGGCCCCGGGTTCGATCCCCGGCATCTCCATCTGCCTTTTCTTTTCATTTCCAGATTTGGAAGTCTTCCGTGTGGGTCGAGCGCTACACCTGACAGTAGAATCCTGACGACGCAGCAAGTATGCGTGGGATCTCCTTTCTCTCTTCCAAATCCCAGGCACTAGTTTTCTCCCCTGATCTAAGATCCGAGCAGCGCGAGCGCTCTGCTCACATCTTGCTGCTTGTGTATCTGCTTCTTTGCTGCACACGCTTCACCGCCCTGGAAAAAGACCAGGTTGCTGATGGAAAAGAGCAAACAGAAAAAAGACGAAGTGGGAGGTGCTATCTGGCACTGATGGCCGAGTTTGAATTTTCTCATTTACCAGGGCCCTTTAGTAATTCTGTCAAATTCCAATCATACTGAGTCTTACATCTGGAAAACTCAGAAGTGTATTTTGAAGGAAACTCAGCAGCATCGGTCCACCAAGTGCCCGGCTAGCTCAGTCGGTAGAGCATGAGACTCTTAATCTCAGGGTCGTGGGTTCGAGCCCCACGTTGGGCGCTAGAGATATTTTGCTCAACTAGAAATATACAAATGTTACATCCGTTAGCACACCGTCCCGCGAATAAATTACTTGTAAAACCTGCCATAAGCAATGGCCACGTGATCCTGCTATGAAAAGATAAGTGTTGCTGTTGTAAGATAAACATCGGTAATGGACAATTTTAACGCCACCATCCTTGGTTGTTTTTTGTTTTCTTTTCGGAAATTGGCTACTTTAAGTAACTATCCTCGTTTATTTTTGGTTCCGGTTTTTTGGCAAATTGGGGCGTGTGCATGCCAAGTAAGCGTTCTATCTACCACTCCCTTCCGCAGCCCATATTTTAACTATTTTTAATTGTATGACTATGTGGCTGTAAATATATTCATTGTGCTGTACAGCCATTCCATCAACCTTATGCAGATCTTTTTCATCCTTCTCAGTGGAATTTTTTCATATTTCCCATTCCCCACTTTTCCTAGTTTTAATATTAGGCTTCAGCAACCACCATTTTTTCTGTCTCTATGAATTTGATAACCACAGAAAGAGTAGTATTCTTTGTCTTTATCTCTTTTCTTCCTAGTTACTGAGGATTGAACCCAGGCCCTTTCACATAGCTATACACCTACACCTTTTTAATTTTGAGACGGGACCTGCTAAATCGCTCAACCCACAGTCTAACTCCGGATCCTTCCTCAACCTCCTGGAGTCCTAGGATTACAGGCCTGTGTCTCCACACCCAGGTAATATTGTATTTATTCTTTTTATAATTCTCCCTGTCTTTGAGACAAGGTGTCACCATGTAGATCAGGCTGGTTTTGAACTCACTAGGAGCACTTGCTGGCCTAGAACTTGTCTTTATCCTCCTGCTTAAATCCGCAGACTGATGTGATTACAGCAGGCCCAGCCCTCTTTTTGACTCTCTTATTTCAATTAGCATAGCATCTTAAACGTTGTGTGTTGCAGCATATATCAAAATGTCTTTCCTTTTAATGCTGAAAAACATTCCGCTGTATGCACATGCTATGTTTTTATCCATTCATTTGCCCATGGATACTTGGGCTCTTTCCACCTTTTGGGTATAGTGAATGATGCCTTGAACACGGACACACAAGGGTGTTTTCACATGCTTTCACACCTTGTGGGTATACATCCAGATATGAATTTCTGGATTATATAGTATTTCAATTTTTTTTGAGAAATCATTATATAGTTTTACACAGGCATTGCATCACAAAATAGAATTTTCAAAACATCTTTTCAGTAGGTAACATCCTACAAGATTCAAAATTTGAACATCTATGGTCAGTGACTATAGATTTCCTCCTATCCTACCACTTTAAGCAACAATTTTTGTATCTGTGTATATATTCTTACAGAGTTTCTAATGCAAATACAGTTTTATTTTCTCTTTTACTCAAAAAGGTAATTATATATCTTTTCATTTCAAAACACAAAATTTACTTATTTTTTTGCAGCTGCACCATATTCAGCTGTAGATGAATGATATTTGTTCAACAAATAACTCCTGCCTCAGCCACCTAAATGTTAGAGTTGCAGGTGTGCACACATAAATGTGTGACTCCTTCCCTTAAAATTTCCAGTGCTTCTTACTTCCTGTCCTATAGGAAAATATCAGTTGTAAGACTCGGAAGAAGCATAACAGGAGCATATTCTGATTAAAGACTTTGAAAGCTATGGTATTGTTTTACTTAACACTTATAATCCAGTTCTGTATAATAACATTGCTTTTACCTTCTTCACAGCTAGGTCTTTGCTTCTGTTCACTTGCAAAGGCAGGACAGTATCAATTCAGCTATTTCAGTTATTTCCTCTCCCTTCTCTTTTCCCCTTTTTTTTCTTCCCCTCTCTTCCCTGTGTAGTACTGGAAACTGAAGCCAGGACCTCCACACTGAGCTACATCCCCAGACTTTTTTAAAATTCAGAGACAATCCTCTAAGTCATTAACTTTCCCAGGCTAGGCTGGAACTAGATTTTCAGTTTTTCTGCCTCAGCGTCCCAGAATGCTAGGACTGAATGCATGTGCCACCACACTTGGCCCATTCAGCTATTTGTTAATATGCAAAATTTTCCCTTGGATAGGAAATATTCAACCCATGTATAAAAAATCAAATTGGTGACATTCTTTCTGTGACGTTGATGTTGTATGGGGCATATATAAATTATTGGACCACAGTTGTGTTTTGCACAGTGGTGTACAAGAATGATTGTATAAACTGGGTGTGGTGGTGCACATCTGTAATTCCAGCACTCCAGAGGCTGAGGCAAGAGGATTGCTATAAATTCAAGGCCAGCCTGGTCTAAATGGAAAGCTCAGGGCCAGCCTATACCACACAGTGAGACCCAGTCTCAAAAACACAAAAAGTAAATAATTAGTAAGAATAATTAGTAAGAATGATATAGTTTTATGTAAATTCTTAATCACCTATGGTATTTGAATGTTTTCATTTAAAAACATTTGAAACAAAACTTTGTCCAGGTTTGACATATTTATGGCTATTTTCTAATATTAATCTTGACAAAATCATTCTTGTATGGTTTGTGTAACATTGGGAGAAATGACTTAGTCATCATCAAATGCTCACTTCATTCTTCATTTGCTGTTGGTACATAATACGTTGGCTTAAGGGTACAAGCCAGAAAAAGGCAGTTGACAGTCACATGCAGTTGTTCAGAGGTATGTGAGTTTTGGGCAAGGAGAGAATAAACATGCCAACCAGAGCAACATAATTCTAGAGGAATCCCTGCAACAGGCATTGTGGTCAAAATGAAGACCCAGAATAATCTCCTTTATGTCAGGATCAACTGGATTAAAATCACTGGATATTTTGAGAAACCCTCCCAGGTTATCACTGTCACTTGAGATGTTTAGTGTCTGAGGGAAAGTTTTTGAATATGGAAAAGACTAGATACTTTATAATTGATGTTCAATTCACTATGATTGTAAGTGTTAAAGGCTAATTTTCTTAAGACTTTAACTTCAACTTATTTATATTATTACTTATAAAGCAGCCTTTGAAAGAATGATCTATTTCATTGGTTCTTTCATGAATTCAGGTAATTAAATGCAATCAGTCTGAATGTCTAAACAATTGGTGATGGATGTTGCAAATTAAAATTATAAATGTTATACTTCTGATCATTTATTAGAAAAGGAGATGCAGGCAGTGAGAAATTAGATCACATATTGGCACAAGCATGCACACCACACCTGGCTTCACACATCTGGAAGTGCAGAGCCATATATGAATCTAACCCTTTTAGAAATCCCATGTATACTGTTTATTTGTAATCTTTCAAATAAGGTATTTAGTCATTCATCTCTCTTTCTAAATTCTGCACTGAAATCTTGCTGTGTTTCTTGTTATTCTAGTAGTTACCTAAGACTGCAAATTCAATATTCTCTACTCCTTTTTTTAAAATCCACTTTGTACAGCAAAGACAGTAAAGTGGCTGGGATAATCAGGATGAGGATTCAGTAAACTATTGGAAAGGCTCCTTACTTTCCTGGCCTCCATGGTCTTTCTTTGGTTGTTCTTTTTTTTTTTTTTTTTTTTTTTTGAGGCAGAGTCTCATTATGTAGTCCAGGCTGGCCTTCAACTTACTGTGTAGCCCAGGCTGATCTCTAACTCTCAGTGATCCTCCTGCCTCAGTTCTCTGAATTCTAGGATTACAGATGTGTGCCGTATGTCTAGTTTTCCTTGGTTTTTTAATCCACCCAATCACTTCAGGTTTAAGCCAGGATCCAGCAGACCCATCCCTTACCTTTCTACTGTAAATTTGTACTTTAGTGTTATGGTAGCTGGCTGTTCATCTCAGTACATTTCTCTGAGGAATATAGGAAGTAATCTATGTGTTTACCCACTTGGTATGATGAACAACAAGGAGTGTGCACACGTTCAAAAGTAGCAAAATGGCATTTGGACCCATCATTATGCTCCATGGGACAGTCTTTGGTATGTTTACTCAAGCATCACAGAGCATCCAATAGACCCACACCACTCCAGTATTTGTTTTTTTTTTTAAAGTATTTTATTTTGTTTTGTTTTGTTTCCTGTTAGAAGTAGCCAAATTCAGTACAATGGCACATAAAAACCAGATTTGCAAGTTTTGGAGGAGTTTAAAACTGAGTCATCAGATTATCCATGCATGGGTGATGAAGATGATCCATTATGGCAAAATACATGCTTTCATAATGACAGAGTGGTGTTGATGTGTGACAGTGATGATGATAATTTTGATATTATCCATGTGAGACAAAGTTCCTGTGTCAGTGAAATGGAGCAAGAATCAATTGATACAGACACGGGGAGTACAGAACTCCTTGACTCAGATGATAAAGAAAACAGCATGTGAATAGGTATTTGACTAGTGGAAATGTTGTGAAATATCTGTACAACAAATGAAACGATCCAGTGTTAAAACCAGGTCCAAAAATATAGTGAACATCTTAGCAGAAGTGAAAGATACTGGACAGAAAGCCCCCAGCATCATTCAAAGTTGGAAATTGTAACAGATGAAATGTTACAATTTATGTGAAAGACACAAAGTCTGAAATATATGTAAAAGGTTCTGATCCCACCGGTAGCCATATTAAAAATGTATTTATTATGACACCTTATGAAGTAAACTGAAAGCAATGCTAGGTCTGCTGTACTTAGCTCAGATTTCTCATGGTGATTGCAAGAATGTGTAAGATTTATTAAAAAACAATGGGTCAAAATATGGCATAAAAATTTTGTCCTTGTAAATATGAAGAATTACTATGCTTATTTATTTATCTATTTATCTATTCACTTTTTTTGAGACAGGATCTCACTGTGAAGTTCAGGCTGACCTTGAACTCACAATGTAGCTGAGGATGACCTCAAACTTTCAGTGATTATTCTGCCTCAGCCTCCTAAGTGGTGGGATTACAGGTATGTGCCACCATTCCTGGCTTTATTATGCTGACAATTAAACATTTATCCTGGAACTCAGGCTTATTCATCCTCATTCACATAACAATAAACCAAATGATTTTGTGAACAACCTTGTTGCTTCTATCTCCAAACTAAATGAAATGTGACATTTAACTTGTTCACCACTTTCCAGCTGATATTAGCTAATAGACCACAAATTGACCAACATAGAAACTATATGCAGAAACAAAGCAAAAATTCCAAACAAAATGTTGCAATTTCAAAGCAGAGAATTGGATAGTACAGTCTTTAGACTTCAGAAAGATAGAACATTGTCCTTATATATGGCCAAGAAAAACAAACCGGTACTACTGATTTCAGCATTGCACCACGATGGAAATTTTGATAGGGAAACCTCAATGAAACAGAAGCCTGAGATAAACTTTCAACAACAAAACAGAAGATGGAGTAGATGTTGTTATGAGTTGTGCAGCAACTACAAAGTCACTTGAAACACAAAGCGCTGGCAAATGGTTGTGTTTTACTCAATCTTAAACATGTGTGGTGGGGCTGGGGATTTAGCTCAGCTGCATAAGCATCTACCTTGCAAGCAGGCAGTTGTGAGTTCGATCCCTGGTACCGATAAAAATGAAAAAACAACAACAAAAAGACATGTGTGGCATAAACAGTTTAATAGTTTACAAAGAAAATAACAAGTACAAAATATCACAGGTAAATTTTCTTACAGTATTGGGACTGGAGCTCATAAGAGATCATTTACAGCAGAAGAAAAATAAAATGTTTCTGCCCAAAGAACCAAAAAATAATGTGGAACACACTAGTGAACTGACAGGTGAACAGGCAGGTACAGCATCACAAAGACCTACTACAACAGAAAAACAAAAAAGATGTCCACTGTGCTCCACAAGAAAGTATAGGAAAACAAACATATGCTATCAGTGTTAGTGATACTTGCATATGGAACATATAGTTTTCATGTGTGAAAACTGCCTTTGATGGGACAACTGAAGCAAAGCTTACTTCCATAGTAGATCTCTGTGCTTACATTGTAGTTCACATAGGTTTTCATAGTTGATGTTATCTTTCAAGTTTTTTAAGGAAGTACAAAGCAGCTGTGAAAATGTTTATGTTCATTCTAAATGCACAATATATATTAAGAATCCAACAATTTATTTTATAGATACTTTATGTTCTTGTTAAATATGCACTGTATAATATAATAACTTCCTGACAAAACATCAAGACAAGTGAGATGTCCAGTATGTTTCACAAAAAGGCCAGGAAAGCAAAAACAGGTACTGTGAGTGTAAAAAGTGCGTGTGTGTGGAGTGTGATATTGTCGTATATGCAGACTGACTTAAGTGTGATAATAGAAGTAAGAATTTTTTTGTAGAGTACTATTGGTACTTTTGTTGCATTTTATATGGGAATTTATTTCTGATGTTCTTTCTTTAAATTTCATTTTAAGGAGAATAAAACCAAACAAAATGAAACAGAATAGAGTCAACTAAAACAAAACAGGACTTCAAAACAAAATAATAGGAAATCAACAATGGCTACCATAATGCCTCTTGTTATATTCAAAATAACTGCCTGTATCATCAGACATAATAGAATCAAACAAAACAAAGTGGAATAAAACCAAACCAAACAAAACAATTAAAGCAATACAGGACTTCAAAAACAAATTAATACGAAATTAACAATGGTCACCATCTTCCCTTTTTGAACAGTTTCTCCCCTTTCACTTTCACAGTATCTATTGTGGATCTCACTAACTGCTTCAGTTTTTTTAAGAAGACAATACAATGCTCTCCCATGTGAGTCCAATCCATTTCACCCATAAGCATGATCTCCAGTTGCATCTATTTACCTACAAGAACCTTGCGATTATGCTTCTATATGACTGAATAGACTTCCATTGTATAAAAATATGATATCTTTCTTATCCTTTCTGTAGTTGATTACACCTTCTTTATTCTGGGTCCCTCATCAAGCATTGTCTTGTCTCCTCTGATCTTTAGTCTATGAATTTTCTTTTGAGTCAAACATGTTCCTTGTATACAGCATATTGATGGATCCTGTCTTCCAACTCACTCTGCCCATGTTTCTTTTTATAGGTGATTTGAGGCCATCTACATTAATGGTTATGACCAACTTGCACTGGCTCATGTCTGCCATGCTATCCTCCTGCCGTTGCCCCCCCACCACTTTCCCCCTCCAATGAATTGCCTGCTCTGCTCAGCAATCCCCCTCTGTTACTGTTCCTGGAATCATGATCATCTTTATTTCCCTCTAGAAAACCCTTTAGCACTCTTCATATGGTTGGGTGGGTGGTCATGAATTCCTTCAATTATTCTTTTTTTTTTTGTCTTTTTTGTTTTTATCAGTACCAGGGATTGAACTCACGACTGCACACTTGCAAGGAAGGTGCTTATGCCGCTGACCTAAATCCCCACCCCCCCTTCAGTTATTCTTTATCATGGAAATATCCTATTTCTCCATTAATTTTGAAAGATAGTTTTTCAGGGTACATCAGTTTGGGTTGGAAGTTAGTTTATTTCAGAACTTGAAACACTACACTCCAGTGATGGTTTGTATTAAGAGGTTTGCTGTGACTCTGATTGGTTTTCCTTTATAGGTGATCAGTTTCTTTTCTCTAACAGCCTTTAATATTCTGTTCTTGTGTTGAATTTCTGGGATCTTGAATATTATACATCTGGGTATAGATTTATTTGGGTTATGGCTAGTTGGAGTTCTTCTATATGCTTCATTTATCTGAATGTCAAGTCTTTTTTCCCATGCTTGGAAGGTTTTCTGCTATCAGTTCTGTATATAGTCTTGTTATCTCATTCGTGTTGACCCCTGCCTTTTGCTGACCCCTATCACTCTTTTCTTTACGTTGTCTTGCAGCTGTTGAGTTATTTCCTGATTCCTGGTTATTTTAAAGAGATCTTTCCTTTCACAATCACTAGCTGAGGGGCTGGGGATTTAGCTCAGCGGCATAAGCACCTGCCTTGTAAGCAGGCAGTCATGAGTTTGATCCCTGGTACCGGTAAAAATGAAAAAGACAAAAAAAAAAAAAAAAAAAAAAAAAAAAAAAAAAAAAACAATCACTAGCTGAAATCCTGTCTTCAACGTCTGAAAGTCTATCTTCAGTTTCTTTCAAGCAGTTTTTCCAGCTTTCAATGGAGTTTTTAATCTCCTGTATATCTTTTTGAATCTGTTTGATGCATTATAGTTCTTTCCTGTGTTGTTCATTCAAGGTTTCCATCATTTACTTATACCTATCTTTTTAATTATTTTATCTATGTTTTCTTCAGATTTGTTCATTATTTTTTTCATTATGTTTGTCATTTGTTCTTTTATCTGCATTATCATTTGTGTTTGGATGTCCCCCCAAAGCCTCATCCAGTCATGGAGGTGGCTGAACCTAGCATTTGTGATTGGTTTATTGTCTAACACCGGGACAGGCAGTGTGAGTGCCAGTGGGTAACCAACATACAACATAAGGAAGAGAAAGTGGCTTGCCCCGCCTTCTTTTGCCCTTTCACTCTTGTCACTTGCCACCACCATGAATGGTTGCCCTTTAACCATGCCAATTTGCCTTGGAGCTAGCTGAGTATGGACTGAGACCTTCACAAGCTGTAAGCTAAACCTTTCCTGCCTTCATTTTGGGCATCAAATATTTTGTATTGGCAAGGAAAGAAAAGTAATAAATACAACTTGAGATATTTTTCCTGTTCTGATTACTTTTACAGCCTCATAAAGTTGTTTCTTTAGGTCAGTTGCAATCCTTTCAACAATTTCAGTTGTGCAACTTCCAATTTCTTCTATTTTTGTGTCTCCTAGACTTGTTCTGTATGGGTGGAAGTCTGAGATTGCCTTTTTCTCCTTTGTCTCATTTTCCTGGATTTCTCTGGACAAGCTGGTTGTAGGGGTTCCCAGGGCATTGGTTGCTCATCTGTAGTGTAGGGGAGTGGGTCAGGCACCTGAGTTTCTCCTAACCTAGGTTGCTGGGGAGTTAGTGGGGTTCAGGGTAGCCTTCTCCAGACACCAAGGCTCCTCTAATGGTGGCAGGCATGTGGGAGCTTGGATAGCTGATTCTCTTGGCTGGTGCTGCTTATCAGTCCCTGATGGTAACTGGCAGGTTCTTAGGGGCATCCATGTTCAATTTCTTCTTCCAGTGTTTAAAGTTCTGTGATAATGTTCATGTTACATCTCAGAGATATACTGTATATGGAGCCAATCTTGGCCTCTGGATGTGGGGGCTTGGACTGGTTTTCTGTTGGTGGATTTCTCTAGAGTACAATTGCTGTCTCCTTGCTGCTGCTTCCGATGCTCCACATAACTGGCCACACTGAAAACTTTGCCTTCCAGAGGTGTGTGTGTGTGTGTGTGTGTGTGTGTGCCAGGCTGCTGTCCTGGGTAGGTTCCCATACGTCTTACACTATTCCAGCTGGCCTCCCTCTGGGATGTGATGGAAAGACTCAGAATGTGGATTCACTACTAATGTTCTTTTTTAGACTTAGTACACCAAAAACATGTTGATGTTGAAAATTTTAATACTTTTTAAAATAAAGTATAAATATTACAAATTCAATACTTTATTTTTGAAATTTTTTCAGTTTTACATGTCATTTAATAACTCAGAAATATAATTAACAATTCTTCAATGGAAATATTCTTGATGACAAAATTAGTGTTGTGCTCTGAAGGCTATAGGCCTCTGAATTCTCTGTTTCCTCTTGTGAAAGTTTCTTGTCCAAAGATGATCAGAAAGTTGTCTCTTTCTATTCCTAACCATGCTCAATGTCCTCTCCCCCTTCTTCTTCTTCTTCTTCCTTCCTTTCTTTATTTTTTTGGTCATTTCTTCTCATACATCTTTTCTGGCCCTTTCTCTGAAACTGAACTCTGTTTACCAATTACTCTGTCAGATTATATTTCTTAATTTTCTTTTAGTCATTATCACTCACTAAGATCATTTTATATGTGTTTACTTCTTTGTTATTTAGCTAGCCTATCATCAGGGGGCCAGAGATCTTGCCTATATTTTTCACTGCAGTGTAAATGAATTATGTATTAGTTA